TTTACTTTCAGTGACAAACAACAATGGAGCCGAAATCAAGCCAATATCAGTCACCATCTAATGCGGGATTTCTCAAGGCGCCCTGTCCACACTGCTGTTATAACTTTGTGTGATTATCAACAAGACTGGCTACAGATCCTGACTATGGAAAGGAGCAAATCTGAACTATCTCTTCTATATGAATGGCATCAAGCCGTATGCCAAGAGTGATTGATAAAACCTCCTCTAACCTATACTGCCCAAATGAAGCATTTTTTGCCTGGCTTTGTCAGTAGTAGCTCATTCTACAACATTATTTGTCCTTGAGATGCTTTCAAAGAGTTGAGACATACTTCAAGATGACAAACTGATTGTTTTTCAGGTCACAGACAGGAAGGCAGAGATAAGGAGACAGGGCCTGCTATTACAAGACAAAGATCAACACAGCACTAGCGTAACATCACAAAGTGTTCTGGTTGTTGTAGGGACCACAGACCTGTTTTGATGATTGTGGGCCATAGATTGCAGAAGCTGCATGCTTCCACTACCCATATGGCCTACTTTTAATCCTTTGGGGGGCGGGGGTTCATCTCTGTGTTCAGTTTCAAAACAAGACAAAACTGTTCGGTTCTTGTATCCTGTCTTATTTGTACCTGGGGTAAGGTGCCTGCATCATCTGCACAGTTAGGTCCTCCCTAAAGCAGCTGTTTCACTGATAGTTGCTGATTTAAGACATTTAGTTTTTCATTATGTTCAGTTTGAATTTGAATACTGGAGACAAAAGAAGGGGATCAAATAATTTTGCATCATAATCAAAATATTAACAGCAGTACTTAAATGACTGTCTGCAGTGATGTCCTTTGTGTGTGTTTTATTGTGCAGAGACTGAACCAGCTGCAGTCTACTCAGCAGTGAGAGCTGAAGACGTCAGTTATGGACCAATTATCATCATAGAGAAGCAAAGAAAGTCAAAGAAAAGAGGTACAGCTGTGCTTCTTTGTTTTCATCATAGATAAAAAATGAGAAAAAGAGTCCATCAGGTGTTGAGATTACTGTTTGCATGAGTGTGACACTGTTTACTAATTACTGTTGAGCAAAGCATCTTTGGCTAAGTCCACATGTACACGGGTATTTTTGAAAACTGAGATTTTCTGTTTTCGTTTTAAAGAATAATTCCCGCCCACAACGTAAAGGCAGAAATGAAGGAAAACGCTGCTAGGAACATGCCAAAGCAACAGGTGGCGATATATTCCTAACCGTGCAGAAATGTTGGCCAATCAGAAGTCTAGAAGCCTCGGTGGGAAAAAGTAAACAAAGCTGGGGCATAGAAGCAGAACCGAGTCGTATGTGTGGAGGGACAGTAACTGTGTGTGTATATGTAAGCATTTAAACACTGCAGAGAGTACAATTAACAGTAACAGTATTGTAGAAATTCATTTCACTGAAACAATAACGTGGCGCACAGTGTGACGTCAAAAAAGGCGCACACCTTTGATGCTTCGTTTTCTCCGTTTTTCTCGTCCACACGTAAATGCAAAAACGGAGTTTTCAAAAATATCCACCCTGGCCAGAGTTTTTAAAAATCTCGTTTACGTGTGGACGAAAGGTGCAAACGCATAGAAAAATCTGTGTTTTCAAAAATACCCGGGTACGTGTGGACGTAGCCTTTATTTAAACAGGGCTGAAGTCAGTGTGAGATCATCACAGTTTTTCCACTGGACGCAGACACGTTTCTCTCATCAGATTCATGAAGCTGTGTGCATGCATGCCTCGGCTTTAATTACATTTCCACTCTCATCTGTAGAACTGAAAGCTCCCGCAATACTTGAAGCAGAGACACCAAGTTAATTGTCCGTTCAGGCTTGTAAGGCCATCGCCTTCAGACTTTTTTATCTTGTCTGTGCATCATGGAAGATGCATGATGTGAAGTTATAGCAGAAGTCTTGAATATCTTTAATCATGTGTGGGTGTAGTCATTGCAATATTCATTTTTTTGCATAGAAAATCACTATTTGCACCAAAAGTTATAAGACATGTAAATATCTGCAAAGAAGTGCAGCTCAGTTAAAAATATTGCAGTTAGTGTAGCGTACATGCATCCCATGATTTTAGCATGTTTTCATGAAAAGAGTGCTTTGATCAGTTGTTTGGTTTATTATAACCTTCAGTTCCAGTTCTGTTTTCTTCTTTCATGACAGTAAAAAAGGGTCAATAAATGCTAGGGATGCAACGATACCAATTTTTTCAAACCGATACAATACCGATACTTGGATCTGAGTACTTGCCGATACAGAGTACAAAAACCGATACTTCTACCACACACACATAAATGCAGACAGGTTTTATTTTAAAAAATAAAATCTTAATAAAAATGACCACAAAAAAATTTCAAGTAAAAAATAAGCACTTCTGTTAAATTATTGCAGAGTCTCCACATTGTAATTTAACAAAATATCACTGAACTATTGGCACTGTCCCGAGCTTTTCAGAATAATAAATAAACACTTCTGTATAATAAATAAACACCTCTGATTAATGAAATAAGTTGGTATCGGTTCGTGGTATCGGTTAACTTTTACGAGTATGAGTACACACACATTTTACAGTATCGGCCCCGATACCAGTATCGGTATCGGTGCATCCCTAATAAATGCAAAATAAACCTATAAATGCCAACAGTTTCAGTTTAACATTTTGTTTGATGTTTGCTGCAGCAGCATTAAACAGATGTGTGTCTGTCTTATTCCTGTTTATACAACATAAAAAAAGAAGTGCAAATACTCTAAATAGTTTTGTGTCATATTAAATGTAATGGTAAGTGCCAGTATGAATGTAGAACTGCACTTATGTCTTCTTTGTGTGTTTTATTGTGCAGAGTGTGATCCAGCTGGAGTCTACTCATCAGTGCAAACTGGAGACGTCAGTTATGGACAAATCACCATCAAAGACAAGGAAAACAGACCAAAGACCAGAGGTACAGCTGCTCTTCTTTGTCTCCATCATGGTTCAGAACAAGTGTTTTTGTCCTTCTTAAGGACGATATTTGTTGTAAATATTGAGATGCTATTTGATTATCTGTTTATCTATCATCTATCTATCTATTTTACAATTCGTCTTTTCATTGGAACTTCACAAAAATTTCTAATTCATTCATTACCTTTATGCTAACCGTCATTTCAAAGAATTTGAAGTGTGCACTTTGTTTTGAAAACTAAAAAAATACTGTGTTAGTGCAGTTTTGCAGCTTTTTAAAACTCAGTTTGCTTTAAAATCATTGTAACTTTAGTGATCTCTGAGGATTTTTAGATGTGTTTGCACTTTTTTGTCTCCATAGAAATGCAGGCCTTAGCTTACCTTAGCTTACTAAGACAGTACTATACCATGTAGGGTATATTTTGTCACAAAGTGCTGGTGTAGCTCAACATCAAACATGTCCAAAAAATGGTCAGAAATACCAGCGTTGTCGATGTTCATATTACAAATATCCAGAGAAAATGAGAGGCCCAAATCCAAAGTATGTTCTTTTTTTAAAAAATTGTTAGGCGAAATTATAATGATGTAAATGTTTCCAGTCTCCTGGTCACGTTGGTGTACAAGACAGCCCATTGACTTCAAATATATGAACACTT